TTCTGGTTTGAATTGAGACATTCTTTTAATGTGATTGATTTTTTCTAAATTAATATTAGGTGTATTAGTTTGATTACTTATATTTAAATTTGAGTTAGAGTTTGCCGAAGGCGTTAAATTTAATCTTTCTAAAGAATTTAAAATATCTTCCACTGACATATATAGCTTAAGAATTGCACTACTTACATAAGAAATGCCAAGTTGTTCTTCATTCCGTCTATAGAGAACAATGGATGATCAGGCGATGTGGGTCCTTCTCAAAACCTATCGATCTCTGTGAAATAGGACAATTTTGGTTCCTATTCCCGTGATTGATCCCCTCACTGGTCTTGTACACTTCCTCGATGGATAGTAAAATGTCTGTACGCACAATAAAGTTATCGATCACTTGTTCGATTGCCGATTAATCAATTGAAATTGAACAACGATGCTCGATGCAAAACGTTTTCGACAATCCTACCGACTGCGCACTTAACTTATTGGATTCAAAACAACCCGTTTTTAAAAAAGATTTATTTATAAATTTAATTTAACAAGTGGAGAAATACGTGTTTACAGCTCGACAACAAAGCTCTAACTGAATACAAATACAATGAGAATTAACGAAGTTAACAATAATGCTTGTCTCAGCGAAAACAGAATTAAAGTCTTTTTCATATGATCTTCATGGTAAAGGGTTGTGTAACACGTGCCTTTTTGATACAAATAACTGTGGATTAACAGTTTCTGTTTTCCCTGTTCAATAATAAAAAATTCGACTTCCATTCTACGTGTTTATGCAGGATGATGATAGGCACAATAAATAAAATTTTCCAAAAATTAACAGGGATGACAATGCCAATGGCCTGGCAATGATAATGAGATAAAATTTTTTGTATTTTGTGGGCAAGTTTTTGGTTCGCTAAAATGTTCTTAGGGAAATTATAATTTCGGGAATTTTTCCATTAGGGCAATTTTCGTTTCGTCGTTTTGCTTTCGATCAATTTTTCTTCGGCCATTTATTCTCGGACAATCTTTTGCATACCCGATACAGCTATGTGCAGAGTCTAGCTCCTTCTAACAGTGGTTTTTGGCAAAAAAACAGACTCAAAATCACACTGTAAAAGAGAACTGCTGCCATGATAGAAGTTTTATTTTGTCCCAAGCAACCATCGGAAAATAATTAGGTAGAATGGTGTGATTTTCTCTCGCATGCATTTTCATAACTTAAAACAAAAAGACCTATTTCAAATTCCATCTTTCTTGTAGTATAACAATTGGTATAACAATTGATATAACAAAGAGCCCTATCTCAACATACGTCTCTTCGTCATAACGAAGAATTATAATATTTGAGATGAGGCAAATTTTTAAACGAATATAAAATGAAAAAGGTACACTATTGAGATGCGCAAATTCGCTATGTTAAAATATGACCCATTGGGCATGTCATGACGTTGATATCTCAAAATCGCCAAAAATCGAGATACGCCTTTTCGTCATGAAGCCGACGATATGTATACTAGGGCTGGCATTTCTGGTCTTGGGTGCCGATTTTCATGTGTACGAAGAGTAGTACTAGACCGAGAGCTGGCTACATAAAAAACCTTATCATCGTTACATGGCTAATTTTTTGTGTGAAGTATCCTTTTGTGTAGTCATTGTGAAATAGTCATGTGTGCCAGCGCGATCCGTGGGGTGAAAAATCGAAAGGGTGAAATTTTGACACTAAAAATATTATAAGGTACACGAGTTATAATTGCCAAATAGCTTTTATTTATTATTAGGAAACGTGTAAAATTGTTGACAGACATTTTTCTCGTGGCTGAAATGCCGGCAGACAACGCGAAAGAGGTATAGAATTTTGACAAAAGAAAAGCATCGCATACATGCATGTCGGTTGGTGGAATGTCATGTTTATTGTTAATTAATTTAAAAAGCCGTATGCTGCAAAAGCGCAGACAAAAAAATCGTTATTGAAATAATAAAAAAATATATTTATAATATAATAGCTTTTGATAACTGTCTGCAGCTGATTGAGCCACGATCTTTTTGTCTGCACTTTTGCATACGGCTTTTAAAATAAATAAATATGACATTTCACCAATCGGCATGCAAATATGCTATAATTTTTTTCATTCCTCAAATTTCATTTTTTAATAATTTTTAAAATTTCATGCCTCTTTCGCGTTGTCTGTCCGCATTTTAGCGACTAGAAAAATGTCTGCCAACAATTTTCCACGTTTCTTAATAATAATTAAAAGCTATTTTCGCAATTATAACTCATGTATCTTATAATATTTTTAGTGTCAAAATTTCACCCTTTCCATTGGCCGCCCCCGCTTTAAGCCCCGGGATCGCGCTGGCAGACATGACTATTTCATAATGGCTACACAAAATGATACTTCACACAAAAAATTAGCCATGTAACGATGATAAGGTTTTTTATGTAGCCAGCTCTTCAGTAGCGTAGCGTAGGCCCCGCAGAACCCGCAACGGCGGGGGGGCCTCGTGATTTTGGGGGCCCCGCAGGGGCCTCCAATTTTATTTACTAAATACGTATATATGTGAACAGCGTCCTCTACAATTTCTCAAAATAAAAAGGAAAAAATGAAAAATATTTTGGACTTGATTTAATTTTTAAGCTACATTGTTACCTTAATAATGTAGTATGTTTTAATTTTAAACACATATTTTTTAGCCAAGTAAAACCTACATAAGGCTGTATTATGTTTTTAGTGTAATTTTTTTATTTCAATATAAGGGCCCCAAAAAAATCTTGCGGGGGGCCTAACATTTGAAGTTACGCTACTGCAGCTCTTAGACTATACGGTCAACACGCTTAGCAAAATAAGATGTACTAAATAAAGACTGAAGGCAAGTATTTCCCAAACGCATGGAATCTAGTGTTAGATTAAGTGGTTATGTAATAAATACTTCGTATTTTTGCTCTCTCCGACTTCTAGATTGCCATATATACCGATTCACTCCTATACATTTAAACGTCGGCCCCGTTTCGCTTGCCAGCAGGGTATACACACTTTTTTACTTATTTTTATGTGAAGAATATGCTACTAAAGTTTCAGGAATACAGTTCGATACCACCCTGTATATAGTATATATTGTATATATATTGTATATAGTATATATATATATAGTATAGATTTCTTTGATTGTCCACATATAGTGGACAATCAAAGAAATCTATACAAGTATATAAAATCCTTAAGTGACTCACTGATTAATCACGATCCTGCTCAAACCACTCAACGTAAGAAGCTCAATTTTGGCATACAGGTTGATTCTAGGGTGTAGAGGTTCGATAAGAAGGGATTCTTCGAAATTCCAATTCCAAGGGGGTGAAACCACCCCTCAAATATTACAATATTTTTTATTTAAAAAACGGTCAAGTTTCCGAAAAACCGCTTAAACACGTATATTTTATTTTATTTTTTTTACATATTTTAAGATTTTTTAAAAATTTATACAGGGTGTTTCGAAAAATCTGGCCATTGATTAATCACGATCGTACTTTAGGGTGTAGAGGTCCGATAAGAAGGGATTTTTCGAAACACCAATTCTAAGGGGGTGAAACCACCCCTCAAATATTAGAATATTTTTTATTTAAAAACCGGTGAGTTTTTCGGAAAAACTCTTAAACACGTATGTATATATTATTTTGTTGTTTTACATATTTTAAGATTTTTTACAAATTTATACAGGGTGTTTCATAAAATATGACCATTGAGTAATCACGATTCTACTTAAACTGCTTGACGTTTAAAGCTGATTTTTGGCTGTGGGGTGTAGAGGTTCGATAAGGAAGAGTTTCTCGAATCTCAAATTCCAAGAGGGTGAAAACGCAATATTACAATATTTGTTATTCAAAAAACGGTTAGTCTTTCGAGAAAACGCTTGGACACGCATAATTTATTTTGTTTTTTTACATATTTTGATTTTTTTTAAAAAATCATACAGGGTGTTCCAAAAAGTTGGGTAATTGATTAACCACGATTCTCCTTAAACTGCTTGACGTAAAAAGCTTATTTTTGGCAAACGGAATTTTCGAAAGTCAAATTCCAACGAGATAAAACTACCCCTCAAATATTACTAAGTTATATAATAATATCGCCATATTGTTTTTTCTCATGCTGACATAAAAGTGAGAAAATTTTATCCAATTTGTATGTTAATGGAAATTCTTGCTTTGCTTTATCATCACCATTACAAATGATTAATTCGACGCGAACGAAGTCGCGGGTACACGCTAATATTAAATAAATAAAATAATTATTTAACAACAGAATATATACAAAATTACTGTATTAATTTAGAAGGTTATCTATATCTGGTTTTTAAAATACCAGAATGGTTAATTTCTAAATCTAATACATGTAATCTTCATTTGTACTTAACTAATAAGTTTTATCATGATTAATCTATTTTTACTCAATTTAATCAAATTAAAAATCAAAACACAGTCAATAATGGAAGAATTTACTTTAAAACGTCAGAGTAATATGTAAGCAGGAGAAATTATTAAATTGTAAATATAATAAAAATGTATTTATTTATTTTGATATAATTAAAAAATAAACTTTATAATGGAACTAATAAGACATTCTAATTGGATATCTAGGCAAAGTATAAATAGGTACTAATTATGTTTTTACTTTACTAAATTTCATTATTTAATCACCATAGCACATGATGGTAGAACAAGGCATAAAGTATTAAGTTAAGTTTAAACTTAAAGCATATTTTTTTTTTAATTTTAGCATTAAGTCTATTTATTAGCAAATTTTTCATCTTTTAAAGAAATAAAGATAAATTTTTGTTGACTTCCTTCATGACTTTTTACAAAAAAAATAAACACTTTTTAATATTAGTTTTCTGTTAGTTCTAGTATAGATATTCAAAAATTCAGCTAAATTTATTTGATTATAACAATAATTCTCATTGCCGGTTGTATCATGTTAAGTACATTATATAATTTCAAATTTTCTATATACTTGGCTTACCAATAAACGAGCAATGCGTTTTTTCCATGACCTGACACCACTCTGCCAAACTAAATGCAATACTTCTCGATCAAAGTTTACATCCCATCCTTCGTGAGTAATTGAGAAGGAAAAAGCAACAGCAGCGTGTGCTTCCGCCATTCTCCTCTGTTTAAATTATGTATGTAAACAAAATCTAAAACAAACAAGTAAATTTCATTCATTTGTTAAGAAAATTTAAAACAAACAGATTAATATATGTGGACATTCTTCATATTTCTTTTAAGTTGATATAATTAATCAATTTAAGTAACCTATAAATTACTAAAAAACTATTTATTATTATTTGCACATAATATCTCTTTCGACTCTTCTATTTCATCAATTATTTCGTTATTAATTATGTACATAAACCATTCAGCATGCTCTATTTTCACATTCTAAATAGTTTATTAACTGATAAATCATATTAAATAAAACTTGCATTTGATAATATACAAATGAATGTAGATAAATAAATATTAATTAATAAAACAAAATTATAGTAAGTTTCACTCCAATAAAAAACTCATTGATAATTTAGTAAAAATATGAAATATAGGTACATCTGGACCTAAATAAAATATTTACTTTTTACTTTTTTAGCTTACGAATTTACAAATCAGTATGGAATAAAACCACACGTTATATTATAGATTCATTTCCATAGAGAGACCAGCAATTCTTATTAAACTACTTCAAAAAATTTTTAATTATTACAATATACCAATGATAAAATTTTACTTACTTTAACAACATAAAATGCCACTTATATATTATACGAAATTAAACTGAAGAACACAATAATTAACGATTTTACTACTGAGAATTAAATAAATCCAGAAATCCCACCAAAAAACTCCAACTTGTAAGTTTACAATAACTGGAAATTGTAAAAGTAATTTCACCACTAACAGGACAATATTAATTTATAACTAAATTAGAGTTATTGTTGTTAGATGCAATGTGTTATTAGGGTTATTTGACAGCACAAAATAATTAACATAAAAATAAAAATTTACAACAAATTCTTGAATACTTTTTGTCATCAAATTCTGTCAAATATTAAAAAAGGCAAAGGCAAATATTACATAGCCACAGATGCATAGCATGTTGCATATGCATATTCATAATAGAATTTATAGAATTTTGCTATTCTAAGGCTCCGCCTCCATATCACCCATAGATCGCTGATTAACAAAAAAAAAGCTATTTTTATATCTCTGACCTTCTCTGACCCCAGAGTCTAACCCAAGTCTGACCTCATCCATCATATACTAATGTAACAAAGACTGACTCTTCACTCCTATTCGCGAAATTATGTCTACACTAAACGCGAAATTATGTCTACACCAAAGTTTATAAGATCTAAGGTCTACAATACTCGCCGAAGTATGTTAAGATCTCTGGCATAAGTGGCACATCTCTGGTCAAAATCGAATAAGTGAAGAAGGTTATTTGTTATTTCGTATTTCCTTGTCTGGGCTTATTTTTATTAGACTAGGATACAGGAAATAACCATGTTTATATCCAAATATGAATTGTCATATATTCTCTTCAATTATATATGATACCTTCCAAAAAATACTTCCCAGCAAAACTATTTAAATCTATCTATATCTCTGATTTAAATATATTTACTTTTGTAGCTAACTTATCATTATTGATTTTTTCAATTCTTATGTCATTGAACTATGCTGTCGCTGTCAACTGAATTTTCTTGAAATTTCTTATTTCTAACAAAGAAATCTTATGTAGTTTTGTCTTAGCATATGTTCTGGATTATTTCCAGAGATATTCTGTTTTGTAGCGATTATCTACATATTCTTGTACAGTGTTTTTTATCTAGAGTCCAAATGGCAGGAACCAGTGATCGCCATTATCAAAACGACACGAGTAGCGATACAGAGGATTATGCAGACGATCGAAGAAGAAAAGTTTTCAAAACTCGCTTGAGGTATTTAAATGTTCAATACAAACTAGTTAACCTTTGGGAGTAATGAAATTTTAATTGTATCGTAAAATGCTCTGTTATGCACTGTAATTAGCATTGGTTAATGACATTTTATTTTCGGTGTTGCATTGAGAATTGGATTCATTGATCTCTTCATATATTTAAAAACATATTTAGAAATACCTATAATTTTAAGTTTCCTTTCTTATTAATTTTAATATATCATGTATCAACTTTCCGACATTCACCTTTTTACTGTCTTGCTTCTAAATAGTTACGGGTCTCACTCCAAACCTAAATCCTGTCTGGTTCAGCGTGGTTCTGTATCAACTGGCGACCTGCGATGTCATTTAGGGCCTCCTCCATCAAAACAGTGTTATGGTTTGCTTGCTCGCAGGCAAGGGTCCCCTGCTGTCTATGCATACAATTATTATTCTAGTAATATAATTTGTTGTAGGACTCGTTTATTGCAAATCCCAGGTCAAAGCAAAGGACCACAAACTGGACTTGGAGGACCGCAGTCGCCACAGCAGCAGCTAACAGGTCCCTCTGTGGTTAGTGAAGATCGTGTTACATTAGTGGTAGATAATACAAGGTTTGTTGTTGATCCGGCCTTATTTATTGCCCATCCCAATACAATGTTAGGAAGAATGTTTAGGTAAATCAATAATCCAATTTTAATGATGACTAAATTTATTCTTATTTTATACTTTTCAGTTCAACTTTAGATACCCATTCAAATGAGAGAGGTGAATATGAAGTAGCTGAAGGAATACCAGCATCTGTTTTTCGAGCCATTTTGGAGTATTATAGAGGAGGCGTTATTAAATGTCCACCTTCCATTTCAGTACAAGAATTAAGAGAAGCTTGTGATTATCTGTTAGTTCCATTTGATGCCTCCACTGTAAGATGTCAAAATTTAAGTAAGTAAAAATAAAATACATATTTCAACGTATAGTTATTATCACTGGTTGAATAGTACAGCTTTTATTCCCCATTGTTTCAGGAGGTTTGCTTCATGAATTATCCAATGAGGGAGCACGTTGTCAATTTGAAGTTTTTCTTGAAGAACTAATTTTACCATTAATGGTCAACTCTGCTCAAAGAGGAGATAGGGAGTGTCATATTGTGGTTTTATTAGATGATGATAGTGTAGACTGGGACGAAGAGTATCCACCACAGATGGGTGAAGAATACAGTCAGACTGTTAACAGCACTGCCATGTATAGATTTTTTAAATATATCGAAAATAGGGATGTTGCAAAGCAAGTTTTAAAAGATAGGGGTCTAAAGAAAATCAGACTGGGAATTGAAGGTATTAAAAATAAAGTATCAATATGTATGTATTAAATATAACAATTAAAACAGGCTATCCAACATACAAGGAGAAAGTAAAAAAGAGACCAGGAGGTCGAGCTGAAGTAATTTACAACTATGTTCAAAGACCCTTTATTCATATGTCGTGGGAAAAAGAAGAAGCTAAAAGCAGACATGTAGACTTTCAGTGTGTCAAATCTAAAAGTGTAACCAATTTAGCAGAAGCAACCGCAGATCCAGCTTTGGAACTTGATGCTAGAGGTAAAGACTACTAATCTAACTTATTAGTCCATCTTAAATTATCACCATCATTTTAAACTAGACTACTAGACAGAAACAATTTGATGTGTTAGATGTAGAGCTAATTATTTCCACATTTTCGCACTTTTTTTAAGGTTGAATCTAAAATCCTAAACATATTTAGGCAACCCAATTGTGACTGCTACTATTGGAGATGCTGCTGTTGTGGACTTACCAAATATTGCTGATAATGAAGAAGGAGCTGTTGGCGGTCTTCCAGACTTATTTCCGGCAAACAATTTACCTCCAGATGATGGGAACATATAACTATCCATAAGAAGGGCTTTTCATTTATATTAAATAGTGTTTTATGTTAAAAACCTTTTAGAAAAATTATGGTTCAATTGTTACCTTTTTTAGTAAAATCATAAACTAAAAATCATTTTTTATGTATAAAATAAAGGTCATCTTTAATTTTATTTGAAGCGTTCTGATTTTTTTTATAACTATGTAAAACTTATAAATTTATATAAAACATAAAAAACGGTAATTATAATCATACTTATAGACTGATCTATGGATATATATTTAAAAATTACATTTAAGATATTTTCTACTATAGATCTTATTGAGATATAAACTTTAGGGTGGGCCAAAAAAATTGACTATTTTTTTCACAACCTCAAAAAATTCTCTCCAAGTATGAGCTCTTAATTTTAATAGGAAGGTCTTCCGCCTTTCAGTTTTCAATTTTTTTCTTATTAGAAGCTCATACTTGAAAAGAATTTTTTTGATGTGTCTACAAACCAGTTTTTCAGAGTATAAAGTGAAAAAAAGTAGTCAGATTTTTTTGGCCCACCCTAATAACTTGCTTGATTACTGTGACATATTATATTTGATTTCAACACTATTATTTTTGGAAGTCGTTTTTAATATTGTTATTAACATAAAATGTTTAAGTGATCATATGTTTGACTTATACCTCTACTAAAAGTAAGTTACACTATTATTTTATACAGCCAAATAAATTATTATATTTTATTTAGAAATCCCAGATTAAACTGATATGGCTGTGTTATGTGCTCAGATAATTTTAATACAGTGGAATATTCTGATTATAATATACTAACATTCCCATAGTTGGTTTAAAAGACAAAGACTAGTGTGTTTTTCTATCACATTGCTCATTTTGTCCCTGAAAATATCTTCAAATATTGTATAAATTTTTATTTTATACTAAGTTGTCTCGTTTGTATGTTTCTTTTTAGATTTTAAATAAATCTTAAATTATTGTATTCAATTATTTGTATTAAAAAATATTTATTCAACAAATTTATTTATTTAATGGCTCTTGTATCCTAAAACAATCGCTAACAATTTTCCATTTATCACCTTGTGCAGTAACAACGAAATTTTGTTGAAAGGTTTTTGGTGATTTATCCTGATATTTGACTGTCCCACTGGCCTGTATAATAAATGTTAACTGACCGTTTACAGCAACATCTAAAACGAAAAATAGATGTGAGTAAAGATCTATCACCTACTCTATGCTTAAATAACCTAAAACAGGCTGTGCATCTAACGTTGTTAGAGCATGGTCTGATGGTGGCAATTCAATTATAAATTTCTCAATTTGCTCATTTCCTTTTATACCATTTCCATTCCATGATAAAATTCCTGTATTTAAATACAATCTTGACATCAACTAAAAATAAAAATATGGATTAATTCTGGCACAAATCAGTTCAAAGATATCCAAAATTTTTATTTCCAAGAAACTTAGTCAACGAAAATGTTTTACCAGTTAGTTTCATTAGAATATATTATTTAAATGAGGTGGTAAATAAAATATTTCTTAACAGAACTAATGAAAGTGAACTATCATATGCATGCATACTGTAAAAGCTTACATGTCTTCGTTTATCTATTGTTTCGTAATATAGTTTTGTAAATTCTTCTGCAATTCTGCATGCTTGGTCAACTTTACCCTTAAACTAAAAGAAATTTTAAAAATTCTGTTGTATTTTATAGTAGAAATATTGTACTTGGTCCATGTCCATAAACTATACACTAAGTAGCGATGAAGATGTGATAGTTTTATCTCTGGTTTTTTATACAAATTCTTATGTTCGGCTATTTTTGTACGATTAAAATTAAAAATAATCCTTATCCTTTTGCCTTTTCTGTGAAATAAATCCACAAATAAATGAAACCTTGATCAAACCAGATGTAAATAACTAATCATACCATAACCAAACCATAACCACACTTGTTGTTTATTTTTGACTTTTGACCATAGAATATATTAATGATCTTATTACCTTTGATTAAGTTTATTTGATTAAGGATGGGCTTTTAATCAATACAAGCATAATACAAGCTTATCCCTGTATATGATCGAAGGCTTATTCCAAGCATTTTATGTTCCAAGTTCCAAGCTCATAAATGGGTCATGATTAGAGAAAGCTTAGAAGTAAACAAAGTATCAAACGCCAAGGTGGTATTTCTATAGATTTGTTGGTATACCGATTTGTTTTTGGATTCTCAATATTTTGCATTAAAAATATCCAGGTTTCAAATTTCGGTATACCCAAATTTCCTTTCCACAAATCAAATCCTACAAGTTTATGATCTATTAGTGGTTGAAAGCATGTTGAAAGTTGTTGAAAGCAGGTTGAAAGTGCTGGTTGAAAGCGCGAATTTTAGAATCATATAAAAACTTCAAAATTTATATGATGTAAAGGCAAAACATTTCCAATGTTGCCAAGTTGATATATGCAAATTTTTTAGAAAAAATACCCTATTTGATAAAATCTCTTTATTAATTTACTTTTGAATTTACTACCTACTTTCTTGACTTATTTTACTTTTTTAAAGCAGTTCATTTTTACAATACAAGTAGACTCTGATGTAATCTAGAAATAATTTGAACTCATTTGTTTTTTTAATGATTTCCATGTGAAACATTTGATTTTTTATCTATTCCATATTATCTATTATTGGCTTCTATATATTAATTTTGTGTTAATAGTTTTGGATGTATGTATTTTTGTTATATCGGTACAAGAATGCTTCTACTCTCTGCTTCTACTGCAAACCAAACACCTCCTTTTTAACAAAATACCTAATTAGAAATGCATTCGTACCTATTTTGTAAGTGGGCGTAACTTATTTTATTATCGATTGAAGACTTTATTTTGATAATTAGTACTACATTTTAATACGTTTTATCCAGTAGTTTTATCATGAAGAATTTTTATTTTTTGGTAAAAATATATTGCGGGGAACTTTAATTTCCCACACTTTCTCCAATTGTCCAATGTCAAAATTGAAGACTGAAAATTTTTATGCCAATAAGAAGCTATCCCCCACCAAAAATTCTTTATTTAGTCACGTGATCGTCTCTATTTTGATGGCGCGAAAAACTATTACACAAGGAATAAATTAATGAAAAATTATACTGTGTATAAAAAGAAAACAAAAAAGGTACTAATAATCTTCAGATAAATTATTTAAAAATCGAATTCTAATTCGAAACTATTTCAGATGGGTGAAATCAAAAAGGATGTCGTTTCGGAAAGAGAGGGAGACAGACATAGACGAGATAGATACACAACTAATTGCAAAAGTCGTACTATAAACTAAAATATCCGTTTACATCACTATTAATTAAACGAAAATTCTCAAATAGAAATTATAAAAAAGCTACTCACAGAATTTTTAAGTTTACAATTTTGTATGCTATCGATCGGCGCAAGAATTTACAAAAATAGGGGAAATAGAAAGAGACACAACCTAGTTTCATACTTATGTCGTCGACTGGTATGCGTGTGCTGCCCTCTACATTGTCAATGTTGTTGGTCTTACCAAATGGAGTTTAATGGAGTCGATTTAATTAAAATCTCTTAAAAATCAATCATAAGCATGAGAAAACTGAAGCCAATGGTAAAGAACATTATATTTTTAGTGAAGATTTAGCCTAAAACGCGTTTAACCGTGCGAGTGCTAGTGAAAAAGCCCAAACGTAAATGTTTACAATTCGGACATGGGAGCCACCTCTGCTATTATTTGACAATCTACTTTTTAGATATATTTACAAGCATATTTATATTTTAGACATAAAACATGCATAATTAGTGATATGCACCAGACGAGAAGCTTATTATATATTAAGGAAAATGTAAAAAAGCATTACAATCAAAGGGTTTCAGTTTTTGTAGAAGCAATCTATGTTAAATGCAGTTGTTTTTCAAATTGTTGTAGTTAGTGTAGTTGCTGGCTTGTATATCATTACTAACGAAGAATTAGTAGAAATATAAAGTAAACCATAGAATTTATAATAGTGTAAGTGATATTGAGAATCTAACAGTGATTTTCATGTTGCAGTAAATGAATGTTTGGACAATTTTACCAGTTCTTTTTGGTGAAGCTATGTAGTGAGTATATTTTGATTTTAATCTATTACATATGGTTATATACCTTTAGAAGTTTGTTAGAAATATTTAGAATACTAACAAAAGTATTATTAATAGTTTTCTAGGTTAGACATTTACTTTTTTAAATAAGCTTGTTATTCGTATAAGAAATCTAAGATCACTTACTATATCAATTACTTTTTACAACAATGACTATATTTTGACAGTTTTTGTATATAAAGGCACATTTTAGGATGTATAGGAAATATTCTATCAGCACAAGTAAAGTGCAATGTCTCAGAGAGTAAAAAGGCCTAATCGATCAGAAGATGGTTCAGTTCCTGTTAAAAGGCGTAAGGTAAGATTTGGTGTTCACTAGCAATTATCTTTCTAGAACTATTATTATAGTATCTATTTCTATAATATTTCTGAAATCAAAAATAAAATTTATTACTTGACTCATAAATATGAACTTTAAAGAATGTTTCTTATGAATAAGCATCTCTCACTATACCTCTTTTTTTAATCTATATCACTGTACTCGCCAATAATAATATGTGGTGAAATTTAAATTTGAGAGTACTTCTTTCTCCTATTGTAGTGTAAAAATTGCATTTTTCAATCTTAACATTTCAGTCTTTGTATATTAAATATAAATTACAGCGGACGGCGGCCGAGGAAGAGGAGGCGGCCTCCTTGGCTGCGCTACAGTCAGCCCAGAGTTCTTGGCAGCCCCGTTCAAACGACCTGAAGACAATTTATAATCGTACAACTACCGAAGCACCGGCTGAACTTTTCCGCAAAGATCTGATAAGGTATGATATTTTAATTATATTCAAATATTATTGTGCGGCTCTGGCTAGTGTGCGCACCTTCATTGAAAGTAACACAAACAATATTTTCTTTTGGTCGATGCGGCGCGTGCGGCTCTGGTCAGTGTGCGCGTACCTCAAGTGTAACATTTTATTTGATAAAGAAAGCATATTTGTTATAGGAATAATTTTTTAAAGGTTTGTAGGAAAGTTTTTATAACTTGTACAGTTATTTTTCGTTTTTTAAACAATCCATGATTAAAATAAAAAAATCCGTTGATTTAAATCAAGTTGACTTTGCACCCTGGAGTGGTGAAACCTCTTGACACTACTGAATATCATAATCACACATTTATCTATCACAGTTGAAAATAAAAAAAATAAATACTGCACCACCTATATTCCACTCAACAAAAATATAAATTTAAATTAAAATAGCATCACAGTATACAATCACATATAGCGAATGAAAAGATATTCTTTAGCATTTACTATATCATACTGTAGCCTTCCCAAGTTCTACCTTGAAAGTTTGTTACAGCGTTCTTTGTCTAAGTTTCCATTATGTCCTCTAAGGTTGTGCGTTTGACTGATATAGAAGTTGTTCATAATGCTTCCATAATAGCCACTTGTGATCTTGAAAATCTCGATTAGATCGCCACGAATTCTTCGTTCGCGAAGAGTTGTTAGACCAAGCCTTTTTAGTTTATCCTCGTATGGCATATTCCTCATCTCCAAAGGAACCTTAGTGGTCCTCCGCTGAACATGCTTAAGTATTCCAATGTCTTGCATAATAGGTGTTTCATATACAGTATGTCCCCGGATTGTCTTTGCAAGAGGAAAAAATATATTTTTTATTACTGACATTTTGAGAAAAATACATTCTTCATAAAAAATTTTGCTGGTTTTAAAATGGTTAATCTCGTTTATACTTTTCCAAATTTCCAAATTTTTTCAAAGTCCAAAAAATCAAAAGGCGTTTCTGTAGTTATATCATTTCGTTTTTATTCTTTCACAGATTGTCATTGATAGAATTTTAATTATTTAATTTTTATTAAGTCATATTTTTGCTATTTTTAAATGATATAAAAAGCACAAAATTCATCAGTTCAATGCTTCGGAAAAGATTATAATAATTCAAAATCGAATTTAATTTTTATTGAGTATCTCAGTAGTAGCTGATAAATGCTTTGCTTTAAATTTACTTATTTTTTTTGTATTTGGTCAGCCAACATGTTAATTTCTTTACTTTTATTGCCCGCTGTCATATTTATTTTATTATATTTTAAATGTGTTACGGATTCTGTGGGTCATTATATTTTTTAAACACACTATAACATACTGTAGTCAAATCAATCAGCAGGATTCACATGTTGGATAAGAAGTCACATAAAGGTTTACTAAAATATACATAAAAAATAAATAATTTGTGTTATGTTTCCTCAGAAATGGTCATTGTCATTCTATTGAGATTTGATTAATAAATGTAAAGCTTCATTCAGAACCTCCCAATTAGTGGATTAAATTAGTGGTTTCAGTTACACTTTATACTTTTTAGTTTACGATCATTCACAATGTCTAAAAAATACAATTAAAATTAATAAAATACCCGAGCAACAGCTTGCAGTAGTCTGTTGTATGCATAGAGAAAGCATAATATTTGGCTTATAAAACAATAAACTTTTGATTTCTAACCAAAATTTTTCTTGACGGGTGATAATCAAAGGCCAAAATGAAATGATGATGATAGTGGAAAAATCAAAAGTTTGTTAACTTTTTCCACTAATTGAGAATTACTACCACTAATTATGACGTTCTGAATGCTTACATTAAAATTAGGTGAACAAGCTTCTACGCTAATTGAAACTACTAATTTATTCCACTGATTTCGAGGTTCTGAATGAAGCTTAAGCCACAATAAACGCTTGCGATAGCAGTAGAGCTAAAATATACTACAAAAAAATCGTCTACTTCTAGAAATATTTGGTTATGGGTTGGTCGTTAATCATTTCATAACAATAATTGTATTTAAAACGAAATAAATATAAAACATTGTTTTTTCTGTTTGTAGTGCCATGAAATTGCCGGACTCGGAACCACTGGCTTTAGATGAATACTGGGTCATCGTGGATCAATGGAAGCAAGAGTGGGAGAGGGGCGTTCAAGTTCCGGTTAATCCAGACTCTTTGCCTGAACCTTTGGTTACTACCCTGACTAACAGACGTGCTAAGTACGACTTTCGATTGTAAGTATTCTTTATGAATTAATAGTAGTATTTTATAATAGATATGTAGGGTGATTCGCGGCGATGGTACGTTAGACGTTTATGGAGAACCGGTGATGGGATTTTTTTGAAAATTTGGATTTTTACCTAAAGGCCACTAAAATATTTTCAGCGTTACAATGTTGCCGCATCATTTGAAAAGTGGTAGCTTTGTTCTCATTTTAAATTGAACACCCATACCAATGGGTGTTCAATTATTAATAGTAAGTAATAAAAAATTATTACATTTTTTGGAAACCTCTTTCATATCTCACAATTTTTCTATTATATTAATCTCTATCTCTAACATTTTTTGAGGTAACAAATAAACATGTGTAAAATTGACAAAAACATGCTCTTGGAACCCTTTCATAGAGCCAAAGGTCTGTCACATTGTGGGAGGCAGCTCATTATTACCATACAACATGATTTTGAATAAGCATTAGTAAAATCATGAATTGAAAATCATTTTAAAATCGAATTTTAAAATGTTCATTTCATGATTTTACCAGTGCTTATTCAAGATCATGTTTTTGTCAATTTTACGTTTTATTTTTTATCTCAAAACCTATTGGAGATAAGTATAGGTTAGTATATTTATATAATAAGGTATATAAGGTATATAATAGAGAAATTATGAGATATGAAAGTACTTTCGAAAAATGTAATAATATACCGGGTGTTCCATTTAAAGCAACAAAGTTGCTACTACTTTTAGTATGAAGTGGCATATTGTAATGCTGAAAAGAATTTAGGCAGATGGAGCAGGAGCCTTTATGCAAAACTCTAAATTTAAAAAAATCTTTTAAGTAAAAATAAAAAAAATCTCTAAAGTATAGGTTAGTATATTTATATAATAAGGTATATAAGGTATATAATAGAGAAATTATGAGATATGAAAGTACTTTCGAAAAATGTAATAATATACCGGGTGTTCCATTTAAAGCAACAAAGTTGCTACTACTTTAATATGAAGTGGCAAATTGTAATGCTGAAAAGAATTTAGGCAGATGGAGCAGGAGCCTTTATGCAAAACTCTAAATTTAAAAAAATCTTGTCACCAGTTCCCCATAAACATCTAACGTACCATTACCGTGAACCACCCTGCATATATAGTCTGTCCAATGAGAAGATATCTGACAGTAACAGTTGTCTTATTAATTCACAGGTTAAATTGTATGTTCTGTCATTCTTTGGATGTCGTCTGTCAAAATCTTTCTTGACTCGTTGGACAGTCTTTATTATAAATAGACTTAAAACTGGAATAAAAGAGATACAGTTGGATCAATGGATCTTTGCGTGCACGTCATAATTTGATGTCACATTTTAATGCTTGAAACCGTTCTTAGACTGATCTTCAAGGCATCAGCAACTCTCTGTAAATTTATTAGTTAGGCGCTTGTATTTTTATAAATCAAAATATATATTTACCTCTTGGACCGCATTCAGAGAAATTAGTGGCCCCTATTCTCTTTTTCAGACGTAAAATAAGAGATAAGACTTCCAACAAGGATACGTGCTTGAGAATTTAAACGTTTTCCTGGCATTTCAATGTTAATGTTAAATTATATTAACGAATCACGAAAAATTAATTTTGGAAAGAACTGTTGTTAAATCACAAAAAGTTTTCACAAAAGATAGTGGCAATAAACGATGTACAAAGAAAATAAAGGTACAAAACAACTTTCCCTAACTTTTTGCAAAATGACAAAATCATAAACATCAACACTAAACATAGATAAATGAAACAAGGTTAGATTGGAAAGTGCCCATAAGGACAATGTAAACACTATTTGGCGCTATTCTTGCAACGGTCGCGACCCAAAACTTTTGAAAATTTCGGAGCGGTTCGGCTTTTTCCGGAATTATATCGCCAAATATTAGCTTTTTTCGTTTTCCTCTTATTACGGATTCTGAACCGTCCTAGAATTGTGATGCGTATGCGCAGAAGAAAATATGAAGACATTATTTCATTTGCGCATGCGCTGGAGAGTTCTAGGACGATTCAGAATCGATAATAACAGGAAAACGAACAGACCTATTGTTTATTCAAATTTATTATTATTATCGTCTAATTTTATAAATAAAATACAGTGTGTTGCATACAAGAAACTTTATTTTATATAAGGACGCATAAAAAAAAAGTTATGCCACGATCCACGATGATTTTTGCAATTCACAGTTCACAGCACAGCTTTTTAAGTTTTTAATGCCACTTTTTCACAATTATCACCGGTTGGAGTAAATAAAACTTGAATTAAACTCACAAGATAGCAATAATTACTTTGAAAATGAACGATATATAAACACTTTTCGGAATTTCTTTAATGAGAGCGGTTTAGATTTTGAAAGATTATTATGATTTTTGAAGATTCTGACTTTGACAAGAGAAAATTATTTCTGTTTTTGTTTGCCGTTGTTCTTAGCGACCGCTATAGCAGCGCCAGATCGCGTATAACGGTCGCGACCCAAAATAATTTTGCGACATAAAATTTTTACGGGCTTTCCTTTGGGGCTTTCCAATCTAAACTTGTTGCATTTATCTATGACACTGAATGACAAAAATGTCATGCATGGATGCTGCCAGGGTTTTACAGATGTACGCACGTCTCCACAAAATGTACTAAATTGTAGTACAAGTTACTTTTTTTAGGAAATTATAAAGGAAAAGCTGTCTTTTTTTAGTAGGATGTAGTTCTTTGTTCTTGGACCCCTTATAAAATAAAAACAAGAAATTACAATGCAAATGAGGTTGTGAACACCAGTGTACCTTTATTAAAAAAAACATACTAAATTTAGTACAAAAAAAGTTTTTTTAAAACGAGAACCCGAAAATAAATAATCGATTTATTTTTGCGTTCGCCGGCATTGACTTTAAATGTTTAGAAAAGAAACTTGAGTGATCCTTGGCTAGGGGTTTTCCTTGTCTTACACATAACTTTAGTTCCGACCGTAGGTCGGATAACTATGAAGACATACGTTCAGTGTTTCTTCGAATTGTCTTGCTTAAGTTAGAAAGGGAGCGTATAAAAGGGAATTGATTTGATGTTAATCATAGTTTTGTGACGTGCACGCAAAGATCCATTGATCTAACTGTAACTGCAGATTTTAATATGTCTCTCGTACCTGCATATATTGTGCTATGATTTAGAAGATCTAGATGTGCTATGATTCTTCCTTCTACAGAAGAATATTTATTAAAATTTGTAGCTATTTTTCTTATTTTTTTTATTGTAATCTTATACTTTTGAAATGGGTAAGGGATACAGGGTGGCATAAAATGCGGTCAAAGTTGCCTGTTAGTGAGCCCAATAGTAATTGGTTTAGTAATTGAATTTCCCTTTTTCATTTCCGAGAATGTGGCGGGAAAACTGAAATTTCCGGTTTTTGTTTTTATTTTTTTGAGTTTATAGAGTTAGAAAAAAATCTGTAAAGGCATTCTCAAAGAAACTTTCTTAACTTCACGCTTTAGTGACGTCATTTTTTCTGGAACCATTTCTGAATTTATTATTTTTATTTTTTAAATACAAATATGGTTTTTTTATATATTTTTTTAGACGCTACATTTTTTGGGCAAGTGCGATACATCATTGCATTTGGGACTTGTGAGGCCATAAGCTTCTAAAAATTGAAATAATAGAAAAAGTCTAGATCTCTATTTAAAAAATTGGCGCCGGGAGGCACGTATAGCCGCCCATACTAAAATATGTTAATAAAAAGTTGGTAGGCAGTTCTTTTAGTTTCGAAGTAAAGGACTTTTTCCAATTTTGGTCCGCGGTTATTTCCCCTATCCGCCACCTGGGGTCGCGTCCGATGGGAGTTTGGAGTTCTCTACGCGGATTTTATCAAAAACGGACTACGGAAACACGGAATATCTCAAAAACTGCGACTTTAACTGATTTTGATGTTATTACAAATTTTGTTGCAAATATTATTCCTAATCTTAAATTGAAAACCGCGTTTCGCTAGCTACTGTAATTTTGGAATTACGATTTTTTAAAATTTTTAACCCCCTCCCATACCCCCTTACCAACCCTCCACCCCCACCAAAAAGTAATGGCCAGATTCTCGGGTGCCACAGTATTTTTGTGCCAAATTTGGTTAAAATCGGTTTAGCGGTTTCTGAGTTATCGTGCTGCAGACGGGCAGACGGACAGACAGACAGACAGACGCCATAAAAATATGTTGTATTTAGGTCATTTATGACCCAAATAACTCATTTTGAGTGAAATTAAAAAAAACTTTTTTTTTGCCGATCTTTGCCGATAAAAAGGAAGTTGATGATGGCCTCAGAAAAACAAATCGTTTTAATTGATTTTTGACATGACCAAAGGATAAAGCTAAAAAAGTTTCTTTGAGAAGGTTAGGTTAGGTTAGGTTGCTGGGGTTTGGGATCATATTTGATCCCTCACTCGGAGGCCTTGGGCCCATTGCGATACCCCTGTATTGTTTTACCAAACCTTCCTCTCATTCTTTCTTTGCGTTAAAGCACTTCCAGCTCTTTGCAAAGTTCCCGATGTCGCTGATGTTGGCTTCTGCTGCTTCCTCTAGTCCCTCCAAAAAACCTTGCCCTAAAGTTTTAATGCGTCGGTATTCCAGTGCCGGACAGTGGCACAGCAGGTGCTCTATGGTTTCTTCTTCCTCTCCGCATTCTCTGCAGTAGTCGTCGTCGGAAACTTTCCATCTTACGAGGTTTACCCCCGTGGAACAGTTTCCAGTGACGACACCTACAATTATGCGTACTAGGTCCTTTTTATGCTCTAGTAGCTGTTTTGTCTTTTTGCTATCTACCACTGGCCATAGTCTTCGAGCTGTAGCACAGTCCTCACGGTGTTGCCACGTCTCTTGCTGCTTGGCCTTGATGGCAGTTCCTATAGCCTCCTTCAGTGTGTTGATCGTCAAAAGTGGTGGGTCATCTGCCACGGCCTCTCCCCTGGCCCCGTCTTTGGCGAGTCTGTCTGCTTCCTGATTGCCCACCACAT